ATGTTGCCGATGGCTTTGTCTTGGATTGTGGCTTCCAAATCTTCACTACTACTTACCTTGAAGCTCAGAGCTAAGGTTGGCATCGGGTCGGGTTCGGGGCGGGTTTTGCTCGCCCCGAACCCGACCCGACTTTATGCATTAATAAACTCGAACCCGACCTTACCCGAAAATTTTTTTATTTTTTGCATACCTAAACCCGACCCACCTGATACTGTATAAATCGTACCCGATCCGACCTAAAATTAATAAAATATTATTTTTTAAAATATAGAATATTATTTTTTAAATATAAATATTTAAAAATATCATTATATAAATATATATAATTAAATAATTAAATAATTAATTAAAAATATTTTTTTTATATAATATCAGGTAGGGTCGAGTCGGGTATGCCTAAAACCCGAACCCGACTCGACTCGAAACCCGAAATTAAAAAAAAAAACATACCTTATAGGATCGGGTCGGAACCCGTCGAGGTCGAGTTGGATTCCCATCCCTACTCAAAGTTGCTAAACCATGAGTTAATTCTCTAAAAGTTTTACTCTGGTGCCAAAATTTACTAGATTGTCAATTTCACACGATTGCTGATCTTTTGTGCCATTTCTTGGACTCTCTTTTGTCCTTTATAAATCCTATTGGGTCTATTCTTGATAAGCTACTTATTGCTTTGACAAGGGGTTGGGTTTTGATTAAAATGTTTTTCAGACCTTTCTTTGGTTGGATTTTTTCAATAGAGAGCATGAAACTACTTCAAGACTTCGATTTTGTATTCAAATGTCTTGCACTCAGTGATAACACTCTTCCCTCTAAAGGAATTGTTGGGATTCCAAACCAATTGGTGGCAAAATTGCCATCTAATTCAGTCCTATTAATCACCAAAATAGTTTTCGTTGATTTTAAGGATCAAATTCACTGTCTCTGAAATTTGAGTGGCGAAATTCTTAAGAGTGAGCGTGGAGTGATAATGGTGGTTGAAGAACTAGCACATTCTAAGATTTTGGAGGGAGGGAAACAACTAGCTCATAGAAAATTGTTGGGATTTTTTAAAGTAAAAACAAATTTATAATGAGATCAACACGAAATAAATAACATGCAATAGGTAATGTTTAACATGATTTGGCCCAATTGCCTATATCTACGAATGAGAAAAAAAATCTACTATAAACGTAAAAATTACAAATAGTACAAAACATCATAAACAAACACTAATCTCGAGCCCCTGAAACAATCCTAGTTTTCATGCTCCCTAGTATATAACCTATGGAATATCATTTATCCTATACAACTGGTGTTTTCCCAAACAAACAATTTTTCATATACCTATCTCCCATATAGAGATCTTATAACTCTCTTTCATAATTTTAAAAATTAATACTCACTCCATATTTATAAAAGCTCAATTACTTGATTGCTAAGAATTCTTATTTGCTAAAAACTTCTACCCATTAGGAATATTTATTCTTAATTACCAAGTAATTCTTTAACTAATAAAATTTCACTAGAATTTAAACAATTTCCAATTAGAATTTGAGTCAATATCTAATAAATCTCCACCTTGACACATTCTACCATAATATTAACCTTAAAAAAATCCCAACTACACATGGTCGAATCAATGCTAACTCCACTTGCAACTAATGCCTTGTTGTAGGATCTTCTCTTGCATGTCTTCGATCTAATGAACACAATCTGCAACAATAAATCTCTTTCACAATCGATGTGGGATAACTTTAACAATCTCTAGCTTTTACACATCGAGCCATAAGGTGGAGCTTTTATACCCGGTTCATAAAGAGATGTTGGCAATGTGGCTTTAATATCACTTGTTGAGGAGATAAGTCACACTTGGAGCCATAAGAGCACACTAGAAAGTCCATATATATATGTTAGACACCATTTGAGTCCAAAAGCTTAAGCTATTGGGTTCTTAGGTCCTCCATATATATAGAGAAAATCTTATTCAGATTTCTTAGTGATGTATGATCTTTTACTCACATGTGAACCTTATCCCAACAATCTTCCACATTCATTTTTGAGTTTTGATCAAGTCTCACTTTGGCTCTCTCATGCGAGTAAGTGCTATCAACATTTCCTTTGGACCAAGTAACCTCACATCTTGAATGGTCTCAATGCATTTTAGCCTAAATATTCAACCTTGCCTTTCTATCAGTTTAGGTTGTCTAATGCCCCTCAAGCTTATACTCAATCACAGCACACAACCTTACTCCTTAAGTTGTCTTAGTACCTCTCAAGCTTGAAATCAATCATAGCTTTAACCTTGAACTCTATCATAGGTTGACTCAGTACATTGCCTTCTTTCTTAAGTGTTTTGATCCTATACACTCATTGCATCCAAGTTAAATATTTTACTCTAATACTGATGTTTGAGCACATAGAGTTGATGGACATGATCAACCTTCGGTCTAACAATAATTTCCCTCCAGCAATACTACTAAGACTCGAACTTATAACATTGGCTCTGATTCCACCTGTTGGGATTTTTTTACGCAGACAAATTCCACAATGAGATCAACATGAAATAAATTACACACAATAGGTAATATTTAATATGGTTCAGCCTAATTACCTACATTTATAGATGAGAGAAAAAATTTACTATAAATATAGAGATTACAAAAAGTACAAAACATTATAAACAAACACTAATCTCAAGCTTTAGCAAAAATCTTAGTTTCAATGCTCTCTAGTGTATAACCTATTGAGTATCTTTTATCCCATGCAATCGGTGTTTTTCTAAACAATTTTTTTTTTACATCCTTACAAACCTATTTTTCATATAGAGATCTTATAACTTTCTTTGGTAATTTTAAAAGTTAATACTTACTCTATATTTATAAAATTTCATTACTTGATCATCAAGAATTCTTATTTAATAAGAACTCTTGTCCATTAAAAATATTTATTATTAATTATTAAATAATTCTTTAACTAATAAAATTTCACTAAAATTCAAATTGATTTTCAATTAGAATTTGAGTTAATATCTAACAAAAATCAACTTAAAGTACGGTTTGTTTGTAATTTTTCAATGGATCAAGATCAAATTCCTGTTCGAGACCTTGTCCTGTTTCTCAATGGTTCAGACGAAGGAAGGAATTTTCTACAAATGTGTCTCCATCTTATGGCCCTTAAAGCTTTGATATCCATATCATTGATTGGATTTTACGAGAATAACTTGGATGATGATCTAACGGCTGAGGTTATTAGGGAGCTTTCAGGTTGGTTTAGAGCTTCGAAGGTTGGGTCATGAAGGCACTTGAGAACATATCGAATTGGTTTTGCCCAAACCAACCAATCCTCATCAACAGATTTGATGAAAAACCCTAATATTGGACCGGGTTTGTGTGTGGTGATTATATAACTTCTGTTACTTTTGATGTACCCCGCGTTTTGGGTAGAAAAGCTGTGGAAGCTTTATTAAAAGACAGGGCGTTGGCTCGGGCTTAAAAACCTTTAGATTCTGGCTTACGTCTATACGGGTAATGAGATTAAATACAACATAGAAGTGAGATTGTTTATTTTAACAATAAGTTTAAAATTAGTACTTGAATGTATGTTTAGATGCAGAAAAAAAGATGAGATGAGATAAATTGTAATGAGAATAAAAAATTATTATTAAAGATATTAAAATAAAAATTAATAAAAAATAAATTTATTTATTTCTTAGTTTATTAAATAATAAAATTTATTAATTAATTTATTATATAATAATAATAATAATCAAATTTTATTTATTTATTTATTAGTTTATTATATTATAAAATTTATTTATATTAAATTAATAAAATTATTTTATAAATTCTAATTAAAAATCAAAATGAAAAAAAAAGAAAGTTGTTAACTTGTTGCAATAAGAGTCAACATGGCAAAAAGGCTTATTCAACTCCTGAACGTGGTGAGAGCAGAAGAAAAATGAAAAAAATAAAAATAAAGAAGGCGACGGTGGTTGTAGACCATAACCGAACACCAACGAGTAATCGGTAAGAATTACACCGCACCACAGTATCATTTGGATTTCAAAGCTACCATTTCTACCTCTTGTCAAAGCTACCACATCATTTCTACATCTTTATCGGGGTGCGTTTACGGTGTTCTTTTTTTTTTTTTTTTTCTCAGAAATCGAGCGACGTTTTTTCGTTGCAAAAGTTTGTTTTACAGAAATCCAAATTTTTTATGAACATTTCTTGTTAATGTTTTTCATTTTTTGTGTGGACATTGGATGATGCATTTTAAATGATTATATGAATTAATTGATTTATATTGTGAGTTTTTTTAAATCTTTTTAAGATATTTATTGTTATTATTTTTATCGAGAACAATTTTATGTAGAGACAAATATAAGTTTGGATCCAACATTACTACCATCAATTTTATTTGCTTAGGCTAAAATTATTGCAGATATGGGTCCTTTATTTTTCATATAATACATGATGAAGAAGCATTGTTTAAAGGTACTATATGTTTATTCAAAGCAGTTATCTCTTGCAATTAATACCCGTTGTAACATACAACCGCCATCGAGTTGTCAATTCCTTTCCTGTCAACTGCTACACTCTGATGACTATCGACCTGAAGCATTTCTTTTAGCGGTCCGTGCAAATCTGAAAAGGTCAAAGGGTTGAACAAACCAGACCTGCCGAGAATTTCCTTTGACACAACTGTTAGCTAAATTTTGTATTGGCAGCACCCAATTAGCATTTGCCATATGGCTTAATATCTCCCATAGAAAGTTTTCTTGTTCATGCTAAAATAATATTGGGAATAAAGGGCAATGCTTGTTCGACTCAAGGACGATGGATAACGTTTGATTTATAGACGACAAAAACAAGGTAAAGATAGTGAAAGAGGGAAGAGGAAGGTTTTACACGAGGAGAGGAGAAAACTTTCCTCATTTCTCTTCTTTCTTCTCTCTTCCCGTCAACAAATCATCTCTAATTATTGTTGTTGGGAGTTCTTACTCTCTTTTGGGATTTCCCTGACTAAATCAGATACCTACGTACCTTGAAATTAGGCTCAGAGAGGAGGTGCTCTTCCTAAAAACAGGTGGGATTGCGTTGCTTATGTCCTCCATGGTTCTGAGCATTAATTTTAATATTTACCCTCCCACTTTTTGTTCAATACAAATTTTGATGAGTTTTACCTGGTTTACTTATTCGTCATTGTGAAAGCTTGCTCAAAAAATGAGCGCCTACTTAACCTTAGCCTGATAAAGCGAAAAGCTACCATTACGCAAATTTGACTACTTGATTAGTATTTTAAATCCATGGCTCCAAGCAAGATCAGAAGAGCCCTTGGGCATGTCAAGGACCAGACCAGCATAAGCCTGGCCAAAGTTGGTGGCAGCACCTCACTTTCCGACCTCGATGTCGCCATTATTAAGGCAACAAGTCACGAAGAATACCCAGCCGAGGAGAGACACATTCGAGAAATACTAAGTTTAACCTCCTATTCACATGTCTACATCAGTGCATGCGTTAACACTCTCTCGAGACGCCTCAACAAGACCAAAAACTGGACAGTGGCTCTGAAAACTCTTATGTTGATCCAGCGACTTCTATCCGAAGGAGATCCAGCATGCGAGCAAGAGATTTTCTTTTCAACAAGGCGGGGGACTCGCATTCTCAACATGTCAGATTTCCTTGATACTTCACAATCCAATTCCTGGGATTACTCTGCATTTGTGCGTACTTATGCACTGTATCTTGATGAAAGACTAGAATACAAGATGGAAGTAAAGAGTGGGAAACGGAGCATATATGGATATGATGAATTAAAAGACGAAGAGAACGACAAGGCAATTGTTGTCAGATCCACACCAGTTTGTGAGATGAAGACTGAGCATGTATTTTCAAGGTTGCAGTCTTTGCAACAGCTCCTTGAGCGCTTCTTAGCCCGTCGACCAACAGGTTTGTATATCAGGAATTATAGAGGTTCCTAGTTATATAATTCGCGGACATTAGTTGCATTGGGATATGAATTATTTGATTTTCGTTTCAAATGGCATTAATAGTAATTTGTTTTGTTGTATTGAAACAGGTTCAGCAAAGTGCAACAGGATCGTGATTGTGGCTCTTCACCCAATAGTGAAAGAAAGTTTCCAGATATATTACGACATTACAGAAATATTGGGGATTTTAATCGATCGTTTCATGGAGCTTGATGTTTCTAAATCCGTAAAAATCTATGAAATATTCTGCTGTGAAGCAAAGCAGTTTGATGAGCTTGAGAATTTCTACTCCTGGTGCAAGAGTGTTGGCATTGCACGCTCTTCGGAGTATCCGGAAATTGAGAAAATCACACAGAAGAAACTCGACCTCATCGACGAACTTATCCGTGACAAGACAGCGTTGGCAGAAGGGGAGTTAAACCAGGATGAACCCAAGGATGAATCGGAGCAGGAAGTTAAAGAACCAGAACCAAGTGAAGAAGACATGAATGCCATTAAGGCGTTGCCAGCCCCAGAAGATTTCTCTGAAGCCCCCGTTGAGGAAGATACCGAGAAAGAAGAGGAAGAAGATAATTCGAAAGCTATAATTGTGCAACAAGAGGGTGATTTATTGAACCTAGGAGACGATGCAATGTCAAGCCAAGACTATACAGACAAATTGGCATTGGCTTTGTTTGATGGTGGTGCACCAGCCGGTCCTCCACCAGGTCGAGGATGGGAATCTTTCAAGGATGCAGCTGATTGGGAATCAGCCCTGGTTCAATCAGCAAGCAACCTCACCAATCAGAGGGCAACACTTGGGGGTGGGTTCGACTTGTTATTGCTCGATGGCATGTACCAACAGGGCCAAACAATGATAGCCATGGCTTCATCAGGTTATGCAGCAACTGGAAGTGCCAGTAGCGTTGCATTTGGATCAGCCGGAGGACCAGCAACGCTAGCACTACCGGCACCCCCATCATCCGAAGGTAAGAACATGGGATCAAAAGGTGGTGATCCATTCGCGGCGTCGCTTGCGGTGCCGCCACCGTCATACGTGCAAATGTCAGACATGGTGCAGAAGCAGAAGTATTTGGTGGAGGAGAAGGCAATGTGGGAGCAATATAAAAGGGATGGAATTCAAGGACATGTTGGGATGTCGAAACTACAAACATATCCTTACAACCAAGGGTGGTACACGCATGGCTATTGAAGCATTCGCCTTTCAGTCTTGTCAAATTCAATAGGGCTTCAATCGTTTAGTCTTTACCTTTTTTTGTTATTAATAATTTTTCGTGAGGTTCGGATAATCAACTCGATTCATCAAGACATTAAAATTGATGTTTCAAACTTTTGGTAGGACAAAATTGTATAACTAATGTGGAAATGTGACTGTTAACATACCTAAATCTGATGAAACTTTTGTTTTTGTTTTTTTTTTGGAATATATGAGTATTTAAAAAATGAGTATTTTATTTATCCAATATGAATAGTAGCACTAATATAACATTTGTCATAATATATAGATCCAAAAGTCTATAGTTAGATTTAATCTATGAAGTTATCATAAATTTTTTTAATTAGGTGTGATTGACTACTTAAGGAATTTATTATTTTAAAGAACTCTTAAGCTTGACTAAAGGTCCTTAAAAGAATAAGTTTGGATCTATTAACTAGAATGAGATTTGAAAGTTCGATTACATATGAGGAAGGTTATAGCACCTCCACATGCCCATACAAAGGATGGTACTATTTTATTTTAAATTATCATAAGGTCTTGATTATAATGGTTTTAAATTTTAAGTTGAATATTGAAAATAATTCTTAAGATTCTCCATCAATTTGGTAGAAATTTTAAAAATATTTTATCACTTCAAAAGTATTTAAAAATCTTATTTGTTTTATTAAAGAGGCTCCGTCGTCGAAAAAAAAGTTTAATTATTTTTTTATCTTTTTATTGAAAATATATCTACTTATTCTACAATTTGAGCCAAATTAGAAATATTTTCTCTTTTTCTCTTTTTTAAATTTTTTACTATTTGGACCTATTTAGAAAATTTTTTCTTTTTTAAACTTTGAAAAGAAAATAACATGAGAATTATTTTTTCTTGAAATTTCATTTAAATTCTTTCACCATTTAGGACGAATTTAAAGAAATTTATCACCTAGAGATATCTTAAAAAATTTACCATTTGAAATTTTTAAAATTCTAATCGTTGGATAATTATCAAATACTTTTAACAAAAAATGTTTATTTTAACTTATTATTATTTTTTCTCTTTTTTTTGAAAATAAATATTAATTATTGTTATTGAAATTTTATCTAAATTATTTCATCATTTGAGACAAATTTAGAAAAAAAATTTCTCACCTAGGAATTTTATAAAAATTTACCATTTAAAATTTCTATAAATTCCATCATTGAATAATTAATATTTATTCTGAAAAAAATTATTTTGTTTTATATTTTTTATTCCTAAAATCTAATCATGCAAAAATACAAGAAAAAGAAAAATAAATAAATAGAATAAATAAAAATAATAAAAATACCAAAATATGGCATAGATCAACTAGGTAGCTACAGCATGACTCGGTTTTTGGCACATAATACAGCTCAAAAACGTGGCTCAGAGGAAATCAGCTCGACTCGGCTCAACTAAAAGGTCTGGTTTGGATGCAGGTAGGCGAAACAAGTGTGCTCGGATCTTGTTGGCCAATTATAAATGCGCGATCCTACTCTTCTTTATAACGTCCAAAACGATGTCATTTTACTTGGCTATAAAAGCCAGAGATCACATTTTTTCTTCAGACCTTACCTTTGCCTTCTCTCTCTCTTTTCTTTTTCTCTCCCTCTCTCTTTAGGAATGAAAAAACCCAAGTCGAAAACTTCAAAGGTTTCCAGATCTTAGCACCGATGCTGCCGTACTCCACCACCAGCACAGCCGTATTCTGCCACCTTTTGGTGGTCGATTAAACCAAAATTTGCACCATCGATGCTTTTCACTTTCCCCGTCTCGAATATGGGCTCATTTTTTTTTTTTTGAAAATCCACCTCCAATGCCCCAAATATGAAGCTAAAAGTTACGATTTTCCCTTCCCTATTTCAATATCTTCCATTGTCAGATCTTCTCCAACTTTCAATATGTTGTTTCTCTTATCAAGCTCTTCGTCCTCACCATTCGGATCTCTCAAAATCATGTCGATCGTCACCTGTCACCGTCGTTACCAGGGGAGTTTATGGTTTCCCGTATTTTTTTTCTATTTTTGATCTCCTTTGGTTTCTAACTTAGCTTTTTTATTTGTCTTTGTTAATATTTGGTTGTTGTGTTTCTGAGCTTGTTGCTATCTTGCTACTTTATGGTGTATTTATTGAATATGGGTTGTATTGCTTTGTGATTGCTAGTGCAATGATTTTTTTTATGATAGCTGAATGTAAAGTTGGTTAACTGAAGCAGTGCTTTCCTGAATCCTTCTGTGCTTTGTGATCTAATTGCGGGTGTGTTTTGAAAATTAATTTGCAAGAAATTAGGTTATGGCTGGAATCGATTGGCAAGGTATAAGGCTTTCGAATCTATGATTTCGGTGAGGACAAGGTCTAGCACTTGGCTCTTGAGGGTGATAGCCTGGTGGTGATAAGAGCTCGACGAATTGGCATTGATGTTGATAGATTTGGGTTTCCCTATTTGTTGGGAACATATTTTATGAGAATTAGGGTAGGAATTGGATGTAATTTTTTTTAGTTTCTCGTGCTCTTCCGCTTGAATTCTCGGGTCTCCATTATTGTGAATTGCAATGATTTATAAAACCAAGCTGATACATTTTTAGCTCAACTCTAATTAGTATCCAAAGCTAAAGATTAGCACCTAATTAAGCTTTCTAATAACAATAATCACCAAACCTAATCTCAAACTTCTAGCTTTTTTCTTATTAATCAGATAATGAAAAAAGAAAAGAAAATAAACTATAGATAGATCATAAAATAAATATGATTAATACAAAATAAAATCTAAAATAAAAATGAATAAAAATCCCTACAATCGAGCTTGGATTGATCTCAATTGACGAAAAGCTTCAGACAAATTGATGTGTCTATAGCTGCCCCTTTTTATGTAGTTCTTGTGCAATAGGAATTGTGCAAAGATGTAGACATCCCTCATATCTAGATAATCAACTTGAAATGTTTTTTTTTTAAAATAATCAGACACTCAAACTTATTGAATAACATAAAACTCCCATAAGTAGAGGCTCACAACTTTTGAAAAAATAAATACGGCTCTTTTAAATAAAGGCTCAACGACTTTGAGAAAATAAATAAAGCTCCTCTAATCAGAGGCTCAATGACCCTGGAAAAATAAATAAAGCTCCTCTAATTAAAGGCTCAACGACTTTGGAAATTAAACAAAGCTCCTCTAAACAGGGGCTCAACGACTTTGGAAAATAAATAAAGCTATTTTAACAGAGGCTCAATGACTTTGAAAAACAAGGCTCTTCTAATAAGAGGCTCAATAACTCTTAGAAAATAAATAAGGCTTCTCTAATCAAAAGTTCAATGACTTTTGAAAAAGTAAATATGACTCCTCTAAACAGAGGCTCAACGATTTTAAAAAATAAAGACTTTTCTAATTAAAGGCTTAACGACTTTAAAAAAATAAATAAAATTCCTCTAATCAGAGGCTCAACAACTTTGAAAACATAAATAATGCTCATCTAATCAAAAGCTCAATAACTTTGAAAAATAAAGCTCATCGACAATCATGTCCATAGGAGTCATAGATCATGTCTGATGGAAACTTAAAGATTCACAATTTGAGTTTGACAATCAAAGGTTTGCAATTCAAAGGTTTACAATTCAAAGATTCATAAGGATTTTAAGATTCACAAGAACTTTTTAGCTTTGCAAGAATTTACCAAATTTTGATTATCAAAATTTCAGTTTTACAAGAATTTGATTTTTAAAATTTTAGATTCGTAAGATTTTTTAGCTTCGTAAGAATTCAGATTCATAAGATTTCAAGATTCACATTTGTGAGATTCGTATCTAATAAATTTTAGAGTTTCACATCTAAAATTTCAAAGGTTCTCATTTGAGTTTTTCTTAAAGATTCTCATTTAAAATTTAAAGATTATTATTTAAGAGTCAAAGATTTTCATTTGAGGATTCACAATTCATCTTAAAAGACTTCATCAAAAGATTTAAAATTTCTTTTCTAGATGACTTTCAAACTTTTATCAAAGTCAAAATTTTGTATATAATGAATGTCATGATCAATTATGTAAATGCTTTCTTAATGATGCAAATGCAACAATCTAGATTCTCACAATACTACAAATGCCATATTCTCAACCATGATTCAAATGTTTACTGCATAATGTAGGAGCATAGCCAAATCAAATTACATACATGTATTGTTCTAACTTACAATGCAAACGTAATACATGTAATGCATATGTCATGAAATTTTAATTAATTGTGGTAATATGGTTCTTAAGACTCCACCATCTCTTATCTTTCTTTTTCAGCTGCTTAGCACTAGTTATTTCAAAATAAATTCTATCAACTGATCCCAATATTTGATCACTACTTACAAGTTATGTGTTTCGTCCAATAATTTACATTAATTCCATCATTTGATCACCATTCACTGGCTTCTCAGTACTAGCCATGAATTTCGTCCACTGATCCACATTATTTTCATCATTTGATCAGAACTCATAGGTTTCTTAGCATTAGCCATGAATTTTGTCCACTGATTCACATTATTTCCATCATTTGATCACAATACATAGGTTGTGTCAACCAATCTATCACTTGGTCATCCCATATGCCCTTTTAAATCATCTTTTTTTTTTTTTGCCTTCTGGGTTTCTTTTCAAAGGAATATAGGAATCTTTTATGCACATTATCATTCATTTATTATCATTTCAGATCATGACAAATACAATGCAATTATATATTTTCTCAATTTATTCTGGGGATGCAATAATAAGAGAACACAAGGTGAATTAGGAGAAAAGTAATCAATGAGGAGCAAATATGGTAAAAGAACAAATTCAAAGCATGTCATTAGGAATGGTATTAAATGGTACTTCAATGTTCAAACAATGAATACTTAGACAATTCTCAACATTAATCTAAAATTCTTTTTAAAAAACTCATTCTATTGACTTTCGAAATCAATTTTGAGCTCATCAAACTCGACCCCAGCTTTGAGG